GTAAATAATACAGCAATAGCGTCTGGCTTTCCGAAACTCGCATGGTCATAGGTATTTCCAAGTAGCGAAACTCCGCTCAGTCGCGAATCATCAAGATGTTTTGCGATCGCTAACAGGTTTTTGCTTAAATGTCACAAAACTATCGCCGAATAGTTGAAGTGTTTTTAAATATTTGCCCCTTAATGCGTGGTCATTTTCCAAGGTTGCCAGGTGTGACCACTCGTGCGGTCAGAGCGTCTCTACTATTCAGATATTCTGAGGCTTATGGGGAAGTGGGTCAATGGTGGTATTTTTGGCAGAGAGCCTTCATTCAGCAACTGTTAATAGTACTCTCGGCGAGAGCACGGGTCGAGGAGTCGTGATGCCTTCAGTGCAATTGATGATCCGTTAAAGAATTATCCAAGTGGTACAGTAGAGCCCTGATTCATATACGGAAACTAACTTCCACAACACTGATTAGCTTTTGATAGAATGCAGATAGAGTGCGTTTTTCTAAGAAAGCCATTTCTCGAACTTCGTAAAACCAAGGAACCCTTCCAAGTTGCCCAGTCTGTTCGGTTAGCTCTCACTGTTAAAACATAGGCAACAAAAGCGTTAGTGTTAGTGCTCATTCCTGTCATCGACAATCCACCTGTAATTCATTTGCGCATGTGCTCTATGAAGGAGCTTCATTCAAGGTAATTGTTGACTTGGGGGAACCTACCGACGCCGAAAAAGGAATTCATTTTTTGCGTGTAATAATGATTTGGTTAAGTCTAACTTATCTCTTGGCGGTCAGGTCAGGTCCTTAGGCCCCGATCATTACGATAACAGTCATCAAACTTCACATTGAACTTTTGTAGGAAGGACTCAACATACGTAGCTGCGCAACCGCATACACACTGAAATAAGGAATATAGCTGATGCGAAAACTAACAAGCAAAATATAAGGAGGCTATCGTGTCTTTAGGGCTAGGCGACAACTGTTTAATCTCCGATGACTTGGCGAATGTTTAAGCGTCTAAAGACCTCTGTGGCTTCGTCTATATTTACCGTGGCGCCTCAATGAAGGAAAATTTTTGCATTGTGTACAAGTAGGTGTTTATTCCTAAACCTCTCCCATCATTCGCAAGCTTAAGGTATTTTCCACAAATTTAAGTTCGCCTCTAATCATGTGGTATCTATTTTTCGTGGGAAGCCTGCCCTTTTTCTTGCCGAGCCCCTCTGTATGATAATGATCCGAGCCTGTACGAATGGGTCTGTCCCCGATCTCCTTTAAGTTTCATTGACCATGTTGGTCCGCAAAAGAGTGTACATTCTTAGTGGGCACCTACCAGGCAGTTCGAAAGTCCATAGCTTGCCCAGTTTAAGACGAAATATTTTTCATTACTAGCTAATTTAGCATCGGAGCAACTTTTTGATGCCGATCTACATGAATCGTCAAAGCGAAGTATAAGCCCATAACAACACAGTCAGTTACAATAAGCCTAGCAGCGAAAATATTTCAAAATCATCGAGATATTTAACTGTAGTCTTTTCAGTTCTGGCAAAATTGTAGAACGCGTCAGTTGTTAGCTATTGATTGAAAAGTTTATTTAATTGAGAATTCATCAGTGCTCCACAACCTGGATAGAATCATATTTGACGAATGGAGGATTTTATATCCAAATAAGTTTTATGGTCAGTTTTAGAGCCTTCTCAGTCCTTTTTTACCCAATGTTTATTCGAAATAAATAGGGTCCTCTTTCAACTGCAATTCAACATAGGGCTTAACATAGGGTGCTCATCACGTGAACCTACACGGTCCTTCTGACCGTGAGGGCGATCGCTCATTGCTTCCGCAGACAGTGGACGCTGTGTTCATGTGGAGTATTTATCTCTGTTCAAAAATGTACGGGTTTGTACTTCGGTAAATTAACTTCGTTTAACATGATCATTGCTATGGCTAGCTCGATGAAACATCTAGAAGTTACAATTACGCTGGAGTTTGAGTTCGATCCCTATAAAAAGCACTTAAATAAATTACATCACTAATAGATAATATCTTTTTATGTGGTTTTATTTCAAAACGCTTGAATTTTACATCAGATTCTGTAGAAGACTCGTGATTCCCGGATGCTATCATTATCCCGACGCTTGGCGAGTATCTGAGTATCTATTTGAGTAGACACAGATGATATTGAATGAGTGCAGAGTGGAATTGTCAACAGAATCATATCCACATGTGGCGCTAATAGAGCTGACCCGTCCTTAGCTAAATAGTTTATATATTCGGTCTTTTAACTACCCGTGAGACAGATCGGTTGTCAACGGAGAAACTGTCCTTCCTATGGCGGCAGGGGTTTTGCAGTAGTCTATTTGAATCCTCTACCGTATATCCTTGCACATGATGGGGTGTTAAGGCTAAGCAATTTTTTTTCGGAAAAGAAAATCATTGCCCATGCAGGAGACGCAGCTCAAGCCCGGAAAAGAAAACCAGACTCTCAAAGGAGTCTTTACATGGGTGAAAGGACAAGGGTTATCTTTGCCTTTGCAAAGTCAAGATTTATAATTCTTATTTCCAAAAAAACGCTAGCTTCTCATTTCAGATGGGAAGAAAATGAAAATAGCAAGAACGGCGAGATACTTAAGTATCTAACTCGATCAAGCAATGGGGCAGTGCACAACATCCAGGAACCCGTCACAAAGGCGACCGGAGTCTCTACGAAAATTACCAGAATACTGACAAAAATCAATAGTCTATAGGAGAGAACGAGGAGACTTCGCACAGCAATAGCAGAGTCGATCGCGCTTTTCGGGGCACCTATTTCGATACCACTTTTACCTATGGAGGTCACGGTCAAGAAGCTACTTAGAAGTACTCAGCAAATGTTTGCTTGAAGGGTTATCCGATCCAACTGCACTGTTAGAAAAAACGTGGCCTTAAATCTGGCAGGCATTATCCCCTGGAATCTAAAAATTCAAGAAAAGCGCATGCTTTTTGCTTCAGAACCAGCAGAAGGTACAAATAGGCTTATGTTGTACGTCCCTGTACAGAATGCAGACACTACCTCACACAGACCCCCGTATGTCACGAAGCGTCTCAAAGGTGTTTTCAAAAAACTAATAAAGCCTTATCGGAGATCTACGTTACACACACGACACATTAGCAACCTGTCAGGTACTCACCTCCACTAGCGAAAATCTCATGACAAGAGGAATTATTTTTAGAAAACAGCATAAAGAAGTCAACATGCTTCGATACTTGATCACGGGAGTGTTGGAGAGCGAGTGAGACTCCACCAAAGTAACTCTTAAAGAAAAAGGAACGGCTTGAGCAACATGGCAGACAATGCTTTGCTATATCTAGAAAACACACGAGAAGATCATACTCTTATCCAGGAAGTTAGCGTGTCCGCGAAGGTGGAGAACTCGACCTGGGGGACCCCGACTGGATAATCTGGTGGCACAAGCGACTCCATCCTATCGGCCCTTGATATTGCTAAGTGAAGATCTGGGCTGATTTGAACTTTACGTTAAGAAAAAATTGAGAATTGGTCAGTATCAGTTTCGGCAGGGCTAAAGATCGGATTATGTAGATATATTACTCTTGAAAAAATATTTTCAATTTATATTTGAATGGCACTCTAAAATAGCCTACGTCGATCAAGTAGCTTATGAGTATTCGTTAATATCCGAAAAAGCGCACTGCTTAGCAAAAACATGATAACGCGGAAATGGCCCAAACTGTAAAATAATATTTCTGCAGGGGAAGTTGTTCCCGTTATCCGCGACTTGAAAGGATACGAGGTGTATAACTGTTGTAAATGGATGTGAGGTGCGTAACGAGACAGAACTGCTGTGAATACGGCCAAAATACGAACTGCTTAAATATTGGAAATTCATGAACATCGTGTCCCTATCTGCACAAGAAAGATATAAAATCTGAAAGAAAGTAATATGGGTTAATTTAAATAAATTGTTTTTATTTATTATATTATAATATATCATTATAAATTATGCTTTTATTTAATTACAAATGCCGAGGTACTAAAAGAGCGATTTCTCAAAGGAAAACGCTCGAATTTGAAAGTATGCTACTTTTACCTTTGCAACTATATCAGCGTAGGCTCAGCACCTACCTTTATTTGAAGTACTGCGTCAACCAAGGCTATATTTAATTGCTCAACTGATTCTCATAGTTTACTTTGGAAAGTATGCTTGTCTGCTTGGTAGCCTCTATTTATTACTAACTGCTCATGGTGCCAGCGACTGCAATCACCGTAACCGTCTTTGAGATGGGCTTGACTGCATTCTAATCTATGACAGTGGGGACCACACGCTTTGGTGAATAGGCGTAAGCTCGTTGACCAAAGTTGGTAGTCAGCTTGTGGCGTACGCACAACTATGAGGGCCTACAAACCCAAACGTCAGAACTTCTTCCGTCAACTGATAACCTATACATAATAGTCGTCGGCCTAGTTTATGCTCCTTTGAGCCTTTGATGTAGTATTGTATTGAGCAATTGGCTTTCGGTAAAGCTGGACCAGAGCGACCGGGCTCTCCTGCGTGAGAAAAGAAAATAGATTTAAGACACCTTTTTAAAGCAACGCAAGACGCCAAAATCCGCCAACATCTACCATTTCAATAGTAGATGTTATTGCTTTCCGTTCAGTAGAAACGAGAATCTCGATCTCGACTAACATGCAAAGTGTTAGTTAGTAATTTGGGTGTCTATATGTAACGTATTTGTTGCAAAGGCCATAGGTTATATCTAAAACGAGTGAAAAGTGGGCATCATATGTGTTTAACGGCTGTACCGGACAAATAACTCCGAGCATCTATAAATGTATGTGTGATTTTTCTCCTTTTAGAAGTACCATTACTAGTTAAGTATCAGATACATGCACAATAATTTTGTTAATTTTCATACGTCTGTTTACTCTGAAGTGCGTAGTTTCTACGGTCCTTTCCTTCTTATGCCCCTTCAAAATGTATAATAATCATGTGTACTAAACGTGTGTGGTACTGATGATCAACAATGCGCGATTATTTCTGGACTAAACAGTTATGAACTTTAATCCTGCTCAGACTTTGAAACCTCCTCAGCTTCTTTTGATACACGCTCAGGTTGCCTCGCGAATTTTTCTCCTTGTTTCGGGATAGAACATTTACCTTCTTTCAAGGTATACTCGGATTGCTTCCCTGCATCTACAGAAAAACCCACAAAATTTTCACTGCATTTCGTAGTGTTTTGGGGGGTTGTCATCAAATTTGCACATTTTCCATTCCGGTTGGTAGTCAACTTTGATAGACTCGGAGATTGCCCTATCGGTATTTCAGTTAATCTTTTTGAATTATTAGATCTACTAGGTGTTTCGGCAAATGTTGTTAGGCCTTCAGATTTCATGTTCTTTTTTTCGCTGCTCTTAGCAAAATTTTGAGGTTTTATGCTTGTGATTTCAGGTTTTCTTGATGAAACCCGAGACTTCATGGCCGAGTGTGCAGCTCTTCTTGCAAAGTTCCGAGATTTAATAAAAAGGTTTCCCGGCCTTCTTATAAAATCTCGAGATTTTGCGGACGGGCTTGAGGCCCTAGTAAAATCCTGCAATTTTAAGCTTGCGGACTTTTTTGCGAAGCTTTGAGATTTTATTACGGAGTTTTTTACTGCTTTCGAAAGATATTGCACTTTCCCTACACGAATATCCGTTTTTTTTATTGCAGCTGGGGATTTTTCATTTTGAGCTTCAGGTTTTCCGATTCGAGCCGTCAATTTCCGTGCTACCCCAAATTTCACAGGGCTTGGTGACTTTTTTATGGATCTTTCAGATTGTTTTGAGCGTCTTCGAATTTTTTTAAAGCTTTGTAATTTTCTAGCTGGTTTGGAGAATCTGCTAGGTCTGTCCGTTAATTCCGCAAAGTTCTGCGATTTTCTGGGAGCTGGTTGAACTTGTTTCTGAGGGCTGAGGGCTTTTCTGTGACTCTTTACTTTTCTACGATTCCCAGTTTTTGCTAGGCGGTCAGATGGTCCCATTGCCTTTGGGGACATCTCACTTGAGCTTTCCGATAATTTCGTAGAGTCACGCGATCTGTCACGCGATTTTTTTTTAAGTCTTTCAGATCGACTTGTGAGATTCGGCGATTGTTTCCTGAAGTGTTCAATTATGTTCATAAGATTCTGGGAATTTCCGTTGGACGTTATTGAACAAACTTGCTTTAAAGGTTTTGTAATAACGCTTTTCATCGATTGCACGGTGCTTTGAAGCCGTCTTTTAGGTCTTTGACACGGTTTTTCGAGCACTTTCGGTTGTTTTTTTGAACTTTCAGGTTTCTTTGTTAGCACTAGCAATTTTTTGCCATTTTCTGATACATTTACTAGACTCTGAGGTTCTTTTGAAAACAATCCAGGTTGTTTCGCATTGCTTATAGGATGTACCCCCAACGTTTCATGGCGTTTAGAAACCCCTTTAGAATGTTTCATGTGCTCGGGTTCTGGCGCAGCCATCTGAGACTTCCCCGTAAGGCTGTCCGTCAATTTAATGTGACCCTGGGACTTTCCAGTAGGGCTATCTATACTTTTAGTAGAGGTCTGGGATTTGCCTCTGGAGCTGTCCATAGATTTAGTAATGCCCTGAGACTTTGTGAAATTGTCCGCCAACTTAGAGAAAGTTTCGGACTTTAGTGTGGTACTCTTTAGTAATTTAGAAAATCTTTGGAGCTCAATAGCTGGACGCTGGGACTTACGTGCGAGGCTTTCCGATGGTTTCATAACTTCCTTTGTGGGGCTTTCTAATGGCTTCGTTGATTCCTTCGAGGGGCTTTTCAATGGTTTCGGGGGCTTTTCAAATTGTTTTATAGGACCTTTAGATCGTTTCATAGATTCATGATACATAGATATGACATTTTGGGGTTGATCCATTATATTGTCCTCAGCTTGTTTTATGCTCTCAGGCTTTATAGTGGTCGTTTCAACTGTCTCAGAAAGTTTTTTAAATGGTTTTATAGCCAAAACAGCTTTTTTTGAAGGGGCTTCTGGCATTTTTGTGAGGTCCATCAGTTGCACCGCGAGAGGTTCAGACACCTTCGTTGATTTTTCTGGTAGCGAGGCTTCGAACACTTTCGAAGAGCTTTCTGGCGGTTTGGAAAGTTTTTCGGGCTTTCTCATAATTTTTTGAGACTCTTTCGGTGTAGTTCCCGTAGGCTTCAAAGCTTTTTCGATGCGAGTTTCTTGAGGACAAATGACCTTCAACACCTGGAAATAATGAAAATCCATTCAAGTCGTGAGATGAACATGTATAGTTAAATTAAATAGATACACATTCCTCACACTGCAAACCCGACAAGAACAAAGGACAATATAGGGGAAAGTGAGTTAGGATGAAGTATTTGAGGGCCTACAAAATTTGGCGTACGGAATATACTGATCCGACTTTGGTATGGTGTAATCGTCCTGCTATCTGGCTATTATGTGACAGGCCCCGTTTGAATTACTACTAAAATAAAGTATCTCAATTCAGTCCAGTGAATTAAGGCATCACATGGTATGGGTTATGAGAGACTTACCCCGCATATATTTCGAAATCAGTTCACCACGACTTTTTGTTATTATTATTATTATTAATAATTACTATATTATTGATTGACTAATGAAGTTTACTGGTACTACCGCAGAACGAGTACGTGTCATCATATTCCTAAGATAGTTGCCATCGTAGCTTTTTCGGGCTTGTTGTCTTATATGAAGATTAACAACTTATAAACAACAAAAACTAAACTAAAATAATTGCAGCACTACGACATATTACCGAGTGATCGCACCTGTCAACCTAGCACTACTCATATCGTATACCGGATCATGTTTAGCCTTTGGAACAAGGATGGTCACGTTTCGTATTCTTAAATGTTCGAATCGTTTATAATGTGGTCTACTTAGTTTAAAATAGTTTAACTACTACTACAAAAAACACGAAGCGGGTCGGAACAGTTGCCCCGAATGCCTAGTCACGAGGTATCTCGACTTACCCCTTCCATAGGGTGTTTCAATTTACACCAGTACCAGCTTTTAAATACATCAATTTGGAAATGAACTACTTAGATCAATGAAAATATGCATATAACTCCAAACTTGAAGAATACGAAAATCGAATGAGATTGACTATACACAGAGGTCACGATATATTACTGGATGATAGATAGACAATGATGAAAAAATAACATGCGGTGAACGCATTTACGTAAACTTGAAGACAAGTCGGTGACTTTAATTTGGTCTTATTTTGTGACACTATAGACTTTCTGGCGTGTGCGGCATGGCTTGACGATCATTCATCCAGTATATAGCTTGAAAAGTATGCGTTTACGGTGTCTCAAGCAAAACCCGCCTTATATGAACCCATTTTTTCCCGCTTGTCCCTCATTTTCGTTAACAAAATCTAAAACAATGCAAATGAGCATTACATCAGTACGTAATACAATGCGTCGAAAGGAGATTGGAAAAACGGGATTATGTGAAAAATGGGGGGTTACTAAAAAAAACTTTTTTCTTTCCTTCATGCTGTTTTCTTTACCCAAATATTTCACCTACAACCAATAGCCTCTATGCTATGCTCTATGCTGTACCATGACTATATCTAATCTAGATATATACTAAGACGGGTTATAACAAATAGATTTAGATCTATGAATTGTTACGGCTTGACTAAATGCTCGTTAGAACAATAATATACTTGTATATACAACTATTCATATTTCATTCAAAATGTCATGGTCTGTGAGGGGCTTTCCGCAGGCTGCTATATAAATTCAGAGCCATTTCAATGGTCCAAATGAAAACGTTCCTGGATAGTTACCCTGGTGCATTCCTGGAGGGCATCGGATATGTTGGGCCGCTCAAGTGGCTTTTCATTGGCCAACGATATAGCCAGCTGCACATACTCACCAGGTGCAGCAGCTGCGAGCTGATCGGACAGGCGGTGAGCCATTGGAAGAACTGATGGTAGATATCCCGTCACCATGTGGAACATTAGAACACCAACGTACCAGGAGTCTATCTGCAGGCCCAGCCGAAAACGAACTTTATATTTATTAGTTAAAATACAGGTAGGATAGCAAGGAATCGAAGACCGTTATTTTTTTTTATTTTTCTATCCTTTTTCCTTAAATACCTAATTTAGCACAGAATTACACAGACTGCTACTATGACTATACGAAATTTAATGATGTGCCACATAGGCTGATCGGGAAAATTAGTACCGTTCGTGCAATACAGTCAACTGTTGCATTTAAAAAAAAATTGAAAACCGACCTTCTGATTGAAATAAGAAGCCTTCTGTAAAAAGGCTTTCATCTGTTTTTCGAGCGCTCCTAGATGCCCTCGACAAATGTCAGAGAAACATAAGCATTCCAAAGGTAAGCTAGAAGGAAGAAGAAGAATCCATATTCAATAAAAACTCTACGACAAAGAAAGCTCTATTATTAATTTTTCATATAAGAAATGTCGGCTTTCTCGTTTCTAACCAAAGTCCTTCGGCCTCTTTGCGCGGAAGTCCTTCTTAAGCCCAATCTATGATTTTATTTTAAAACTTTTCTAAGGCATTGATTAAAACTTTTAGTAAAGCATTAAATTATAAGAAAGGAAATATTTTTCATGTTGCAATGAAGACTTTTCAGGCTCTCGTAGTGATCTGCGTAATAATCTGTATCTCGGTAATATAAAACGCAAAAGAAAGAAGTTATGATGCCAGCCGACAAGATGAAGCCGAGCTCCACAAAAACTGAGCATACACTATATATAATTTGAAAATGTTCATGTACACGTGTGCCGAAAACCGTAAAATGACTTAAACAATTAAGTGCTACAAAAATAGTACTGATGCGTCGGAATACCTTATTATACCGTATAATATCATTACCAGTATATTAGCAGGGTATACTTTGGCGTATATTTCCGCGTACACTAAAAACGGTCTTTCACAAACCTGTATATTATCGTTAAATCTAATTCAACGCTTTGACAATAGCGGCCTATGTAACCGCTAGGACATCTTACTAAACCTTATTGATGGGCTCAATATGCTATTTTTCATTCCAACAGACGAGATGTGCCATCAGCTGGAAATGACTTATATGCAATGTCCTATGGCTGGAAAAGTAAGCCCATGTAAATCTTTATATATATATGATTAATCCATGAAAATAACCATTCTGCGGAGGACTGGAACTGAAACCCTATCCTCAGTAATGTAGTATTAATCAGCAAGCTTTACGCGGTATTGCCAGAGCTGTAGTCCGGAAGCAAAGGTCTATGGCGAAAATAGAATGGGGAGAAATAAGGTAATTTCAAAGCGAAACTACCTAATTGACTCCAGTTACGATGAAAGAGCTCAATCGGTTGTTAAGTAGTAAAAAAGGGAGACAAAGCTAAGAAACGCATTTGTTTATTGCAGGCTGAAGTCGAGGGAGAAATGCTACCGTCGCTGTGAATTGTACGCATGTTAATTAAATTATGAGCTTTATAAAAGAAATTTCGGCCCCTCAGCTCCTAAAATAACCAGTGCACGGTTAGAAGAATCGAAATAAGATATAGAAGATGTTATAAAAGAAGCTTAGGGACTACATAAAAAACGCATGCTAATACACACATATGCAAAAGCTGATGCCAAAATATAAACAGTCCGACTCAACGTCCAAGCCCGATAACAAAATCTGTTTAATACCTTTCCGCTAAGGTTCTCAGCGTACGTCGCCGGTCTGAAGCCACATGTTTCATTGTTTGGTTGTGAGCAGCATCTGCAAAGGCATTACTACATTGGAAAAAGTACCAAATGATAAACTTCTTATTTATCGCATTGTACGTATAGTAACCTCACGAGAGTGACAGACAAAAAATTTCAGGGAAACCACGAACCTAGATGTCTTTAATCAAAAAGCGTTTGTTCGAAGTCTGGTTATCGAAAAAGTCACTTCAAGCTACGGGCACTATGCACTATAGCCTCAACCGCTCAACGCTTGTTGCAAGCATTTCGCTATTACATGTACAAAAAGCTACGCAATAGAGAGACTAATATTACGACATTCTTGCACCTGCGCGACGTCTTGCGAACCACGATGGTACAACTAAATCCCGATAGGAGTGCGAAAAGCGATGGACGGCCCGTACCTAATTCACCTAAAATAGATGATAAATTTACTTGCATATTATCTAATAGATTCAAACACCTGACTCCGATCCGGAGCTATAATTACTGCTAGATCCCAATAAAGCTTGATCAGTCGTTTAAGTGGAAAGAAGACATGGTTAGTGACCTCAGGGTGTGGCTGGGCTCCTCTTGACGCAATGGACATAACACACAAACTCGAGGTTTGTGTCACATAAATGTGTAGATTATGCTTAATTTTCTTACCTTAAATTATGCTTACCTAATATCGGCTTAAGTAAAACTGTACTAGCCACGATATTTCGGTGTAAAATACCCCTCTCGTGTAGATGGAACAATGCGTTCAGTATCTGTCGGGTCACACCTATTGCATCCGGCACCTTCATCGCGCGAAACCGGCCGGAACGGACATACTGCAGAAAAGTTAAGTCGCTGACTTACTTATTTGTTTACGGTTTTGAGCCTCAACATTTGTGACTCACTCTCGACAGGCAGGTGTAGGCAAGTATTTAAACCATGCTTTTTCCTCTTTCTACAACAACGAGTGCTTGGTGTTCCTATTTGATCTAAGCATGCGCAATGTTATTTCTCAAAATTGGCCCATTTGCGTTTGTCGAACACAGTGTATTATTTCCAGCTAAGTTTCTAGGCCATCCAACGGCCTACTATTCAGCTAACTTGACATTACACATAGAACGTGTAACTTCGCACGCTTACATATATTGGAATTGGGATTTGTCGACATACGCAGAGTTGTGTAACTCTGCGTATCATTGGTATAAATTACGAAAAGCAAACCTTATCTGCTTATAATTGTTACATGGGACGGAGCCACCTAGTTATTTCGACACTAACTTAGCGGATGCGCCTGCTAGTTCCTAGATAAAGTTAGTGATTACGTATTAAAATGTACCGCCATGAGGTAAACACTGGCAATTAATGATTTTGAGAAAGAATACGGATACATACTCTTCACTATCTCTATATGTTTCCCAGCATGGTAACGTTCATTGTAAAATAATAATTCTTTTTTCCGCCATTATTATTTGCGCATAAGTTCAACACGTAACTATTAATCGATGTGTCTGCCAACGCTATTCTAGCTTTAATTGCAAATCTGAAACCCCAAACATCTAGTGAAGATGATCTTCGTAAGATCGCATATTATATATACCGCTATATTATATATATATATATCGCTAATTATCGCATTACCTCCTATTCGAGTATATTGGGAAGAAAAAAACCCGCATTCACTTAAAATAAGCTTATGTTGGCATTTTTTTGGCTCACTTTTATTATTTACTATTTACAAAGTGCATTTGAAAGCATTTACGAATTAAATTTAAGCTCTCAAGGACCTAACGACAAACATATTGTGATAAGATACTAGGAAAAATCTAGAGTATCTTAAAGAAAGCACCCAATTTGGAAGTTCTCCTCCGAAAAGATTTCCGAAAGGATTACTCCTTCCCAGCGATTTAAAGCATGAACCTTTGAAAATGACATACTTAGTGGCATAGCACTTAGGAACAGCTAAATCCAATGTTCACATAGTATGTCTATACATTTTTTCAGGACACCTATTTTGCCTGCTCGAAAAGCGCTAATAGTCCTACCAACCAAAACATCCACAAAAGTCTCATCAATATTGCCATTCATTAATTACGCTATCGTAATTAACATGCCTACAGCATCAATCATTTGTCAAGTAACATTTAATTAATCTATATTTACATTTTTATAGTTTGTAATGTCTTTCGTTAAACAAGATATTTATCTAAAAAGCCATACGTGACGATAAGCTGGTCAGCTGGTGGCGGGACCTAGGTAAATCTGAAGCTCCATTGCATAATTCAACTCCAAAGGTCTATTTCGGATGATAAGCTGAATCTACGGAACGTGAATTCCATTCTAGGTTCGAGAGAATGACCTCGTTTGTTCAAACGACGTCTCTTTTCAATTGAGTACGGATATGCGTGAAAAGACTTGAACGAGACGGTAAAAAAAAATGCAACCTGGTTATGAAAGATATACAATGTGCCTTCATAGATAAGGTTCGAATAGCAGAATTTTTTTTTTAAAGCCTGTAAGGCTTTCAACCCAAAATAAACGTTTCCCTTATCAGACAACGCAGGGATTTTGCAAATTACCTCAAAAGTACAGATTCACTGGTTTTCGGCGTGTGCTACTCTGGTGGTAAAGTCGAAACACCTCGTTACGAATGATCTTTATCAGATAATATTAAAACATAGAGCTAATATATTGAGAAGTGTGCCTGTTTTGAAACGGACACCCTAATTTGCATCAATTTCAGAGCAACAGAGAACGTTTACTTCCAATAGAGCATTAGGTTATTTAAAAAAAAAACGCGACTACTTATGTATAAAATTATAAGACTTAAGTAACACTGGCTCATTCCAGTTGATAATACTGTAACCTCGCTCAATTTTAAACAGAGCTCGTCCATAAAATTCTTATAAAATAGTGTCTATCAGCAAACATGTTTACCTTCGTAAGGGTGACCAATCGTTGGTGACTGCCGGTTTAAACAGAACTATGTGTTGAAGTTTATTGACGCGCTTCACGTTGACAAGAATGAAACATTATCTGCCATAGGAAGCTCTATTCGTGTTTCATTGGCTGTGTACAACGGTTAGAGCCACGGTGTCTAAAAATGAGCACCTGTCTTGCCATTCCACCCCAAAGGAACCTTATCGCGAAAGGATTTCACGTTACACTTCTATTATAAACGTCGCCCTTAAAGGTTCGCCAAGATAGACTGATCCTGATGTTGGGTTGCATTCCTTGAGAGCGGAAGCAACGTTCTGACTGTGTTTCGACTCTAACACAGAAAGCTGCCTTTTAATTGTGCAGTACCGAGCTACGATAAGACAGCGAAGTATTACTTCAACGATTCAAGATCAAGTCCGATTGTCTACTTAGTTACAGTGTCTAAACGAAGAGCGTTCCCGAGAACAAGCCAGAACCACACATCAGAAAGAAGTAACAAAGCGCAAATATAATTCGCTTTATCACCTAATGTAATCCAGCGATATACTATCATAACCTATGCACGTAGTAATTTACTGCTCTGGTAGAGGCGTTTAACTTGCCTGGTTTTGGCGACTCTGAGACTTCACTCTGGAAGAATCCATAAAAACTAATACGACGGATAACTGTTTTGCCATTTTGCTTTACGAAACAATGAACTTAACGACCATCAAGTTGCTAATATTTCTCTGTTATGATCACACATTTGCCGTGCTTGACCGGGCACGATGCAACTTCGCCTCCGTGTTTGAAGTCTGAATAACCTTTGTGGATTTTTCGATTTATTTTAATAAAAGAAAGAAGCGACAAAAGAAACTTATTTTTCTCTAACAGATATTGTAATGTACATTCCAAGCTTTATTTAATCATAAATCCCAAGACAGCTATATTCATGTTCAACTTGCATACAGTTACTCAGTATTTTAACGAAATTTAAACGCAATCGCTTTCGGTGTAACTAAACTAACTCAATGCTTACAAAAAAATACTAAACTCAGCCGATAATAGACGACTTCTTCCTAATTATGGCGTCATCATGAATGACACGAATAGGATAATTTACGCACCAGAAACATGACTTTTGATGGATCTGTCGTGGCTAGGGGCTAGGGCTTCCATAACTATACAAGTACCCCCACTAATTTTAGAAACCATTTGAAGCCATGGAGTTGGAAATAAGTGCTGAGCTTGAATAAGTATTCAATCTGTGATTGTGAGAAAACTGAATCTAATTAGTCATTATGGTCTGTTACGTTTATAACAAGCATCAAAAAAAGCGTCTCCGTATATCTCCCTTAGCTGTGTGATAGATAGGGTGCAAGATAACAATAGATGTGTGTGACAACAATAGATGGTAGTGAGGCGTACGAAAAGAGCCTACTCATCGAAAGGCTGCACACATGTAACGATGTTATATTTCGTATGTATTTTTGATGTTACCTGTGAAACGTCGAGACATTCAGCATATTCAAGCATGATAAAAAGGCTGGGCCCATCTTCAAACCAGCCACGTATTTTAATGATATTCTCATGGCAGAGCTTCTGTAGCAGATAGAGCTCTTCCTCCAGCCATGTACGCCGCTGCTCGGTTAATTTATTTTTATCGAGAATCTTTAGGGCCACCTGAAATAACCCAGTTGCTCAGGTCTTCAATCACCTCAATATACGAATAGTACCCATCTAAATGAATGGATAGCATTTAACCACTTATATAATGCCATTTATGATAGAGGCTGCCAATCACAGTTGCATACAATTATTCTCAATTAAACAGCTAAAGGAACACGGTGACCTGTTCTCCGGAACGGCGATTGGTGGCGAGGTGTACAGACCCAAATCGACTTTTCCCGATCGATTTGTGTAGAATAAAGTCATTCTGTGACCACTGCTGTCCACGTATTGCAAGTTCAGGCAACGCTGTTACAAGCCACATATGCAGAGAAGATAAAATCGGAACCTAAGTTTCTTAGACATAAATCTTCTCACCAACAATTCAGCCAAAAAATTTAGGATGCCAAATGATGTCGTTTGACCTTGTCCAAATTGATTGACTGCTTGGATGAAGCGCATTCTCCCTCCCTTCCTTCCTTCCTTTGCATAGCACTAACAACAACCATATAACATAACATTATGATGTCGTACTGAATAGACATATTACTCTCCGCATGGCTCGAAATGTGTTTACTCCGTTATCCGACTTCAGGACAACAGGCTGAAGGCTAACGCCAATAACTTTTTTGGTAGCTCTTTGTTGAGTCTCTGCATTTTCTTGGTTCGGTTGTAATTTTCTGTGTGAAACGATGGCATTCATCGCACGCCACAAAGGGTCAGAATGTGTTGTTTTGTCGAAAGGTCTTTTTTCGAGGTCGTAAAACTGCAGGTACGCACCAAATCGCAAATGTATCGGTGTGCTGATTCGTTGATGAAAAGCTACGCGGTCTTCACTTAAATGGTCGTCACATTGTTTCATCTGGACAGTTTGAATCTCTGCTAAAATAGGTAATTAGGGCGAGAGCACGAATAGATCGGTGGCTGACTCTGATAACCTATCCAGATAGCATTGTTTAGGAAAACAGCTAAGCAATATTGATTATACGCAAGGAATCTTTGCTTCTTTTATTGCTATATAGGTGCGCAACTGTGCTTATAGCTGGACTGTTCCTATCTGTCTGGTATAAAGTTCCGTACACGCTAATGAAGATGATATCTAATAGTTACTAGGGGTCGAGATAGAAGGGTTCAGTTGTCTCACACTTACAAAGTATGATGCCGTGCTGTTCAGGCTTATCTGTCACGGAGGAAACTCGAACTCGATGCATTGTGACACACAAGCCTCGTTCGACGACAATACTAGCCAATAACTTCATTATCTATATGAAACATCTAGTTTGACCTCGCGTAACTGATAACAGTTGAATCAATTCATATTTAATGCTCCTTTATCGTACTATATATGAGCGTTTTTACAACGTCCGAATAAGTGGTCAAACTGCAACAACTCCACCACTTTCGCTAGCTGATTTCTGCACATGTTCTTCGCCTATCTCCTTCCTCAAATACCAAGAAGCAATCCCTTCTAAAATGCTAGAACAATGGTGAGAATGAGTTGAGGCAATGTTATCGTTAAAAGAAGATACGTACTCGCCCACGTTTCTATAAGTTGTTTCAATGATTTTGGGAAGACAACGAGAAACTAGTCGTAGTAGCGTCAGTCAATGGTTGTAGAGCTTTTCACACGTCTTCGATGCGCTGTCGCCGAAAAAGTCGCTGGCGTGCATCTGCGCGGAATTGCAGCGATCCGTCGTCTACGAAGAACCTTCAAAGCGTAAACAACAGCGGAGCAACTCGCATAGGCTATCTACGTTCAGGGGACACTGCGCTACTGTTTAGATCATAGGCGACTGTGGTACGCGCACAAGCTCTCAGATTAGATTCTTCATTGCGTTTTCAGACAAGCAACGTATGATGCGATACGTAGTCGAAAATGGCTCCATGACACGCTTGCTGCTTAAAAAAAAGTAATACGAAAATCAATTTTCCTCGACCGACAGATACGTTTCGCTAGTTATTAACTATTGTTTTTACTATTTAACAGCAACCCTTGTATAGCTTCAATGATGGCTTAATTAAGCGGTAATAGGGATTATGTTATAAACTAAATATATATAAACTTAATCTGTGCTAACGACTATAGTGTTTAATATGGATCTTCAGGAACGATGAGGGCATCCCTTAGAGAGAGACATAGATCACATCATCTGGGCGGCTGACCGATGATTAAAACGGCAGTGTTAGTAATAACAAATCTAGATAATATTAGGATCGTATGGAATGGATGTCAGTTTCACATTTGGACGGGGTATAGTAAATCCCGCATCATTTAGGCGGGCGACGGAATATCCGCAAATTGCCTCTGCGTTTAAATTCTTGGGAACCTGATTCGACAGTACGAAAATGTTCCAACTAACGGAGCTATCCAATCTTTAGGCTAGCTAATCTTTAGGTGATCCGATTGAAATTCCTGATCGATTGAAAAAATAACGCTCGAAAAGATCATAACAGACTGTAGCATCTATTTACATGTACTTGAATGGGTTCACAGCAATGTCATTACGTAGAGATAGAGACCTGCGGCTCTATGTCAAACAAATATTCAGCTCCTGATCCAGCTGACCCGTATAACAAGTGGCACAATTCGTATCCGCCATAACTCGTATACTTAGATGGGACCCTATGTGTTTTTCAAATTTAATTAGGTAAAAATAAGCAATATTATACTGTTAACATGGCGGTGTAGGTCAATTGAGTATCAAACAAAGCAAACCGAATTGTGAGAATAATTTACAAAACAAACCCGGAAAGACACTTTTTTTTTGGGAACAGCTATGCACATATTATCGATATCCTTGTCCCAAATTTAAGCTTCTCCCATCGATTTATTTCGCCGGAATAAATTCGACCGCCGCACTTAGATTGTCTCTACTAAAAATATCATTAAAAACGAACACTAATTAATCCAAGTGATGGCTATCAGACGGTGTGTGACCGTCTTCGTCCGTTCATTAAACTAATCGTTCATCTCCTTTAGCGGTCACTTCCACCTGTGTACGTGATAATACTTATCGTACACGATACGTTTGGCGATCTTCTTTTCTTCATATTATGTATTAGAGTGCTACCAACGAGCTCCGTTTTGCCACAAAACACATCGCTTGTGCAGAGCTAAAATATATAACGTCAAGTGGCAATCAGATACAACTTAATAGCTTCTTCCACTAAATAACTTAAACAGTTTGTCGGACACTTGCTTACATAGAACAACTTTCACAGGAGCATACATCCGTACATCTTGAAGACATTTTGAGGATGCATTAGCAATGATGATGCAGTGGCCACCTTGACGTTTGTATACGGCGGTACGGTAAAATTACATTCAAACATGGAGGACTAAGAAAAACGCTGGCCTTCGTTTACGACCAGCCAAATTAGCGCTTAGTGAAAAACTCTGAGCAACTCTTTTCAAGATGAAACCCCGACGACCCGATTCGACCATCAACACGACAAACCAACAGACAGGTAGTATAAATAGCTTATTAGCAGTATAGATAGATGTAGGTCAAAGGCGCGGTACCTAAATCCGATCTTACTCCTATCAGTTGTTTCTGAGGCCGTGTTTAAACAAAACAAATGTTCCAATAAAATACTTCGTATGTACAGCTTTCATTTCTTAGTCTAAATTCTTAAATTAGATCTAATCACTAATTATTTTCTATAGATTTTTTTTCCTTTACTCTGTGGATAGATTATAATAGTAGTAACAATGCGTCAAGCGATATTGCTAGACAAAGACTCGTCAAAGTGTCACTTAAATACGCTATATACAGAAAATTTCGATGAGTCGGTAACATACCAAGACTCTCAAGAACGCAGGGACTGAAGACACCCGAAAGGTCTAGGTCCTATCTTCTTTGGATTTTTAGAAGCCGCGTAGAAACCGGCAATTAAGTAGACCGTCAATCTCTGGCAAAGACTGAAGTTATCTCGGTAGAATTTCGTCTAGTTAGATGACTGTTTTTTGACTAAATTCCGAAATTTGAATGCCCCATCTTACATGCACGCGTGTTTGAGGTGATAAATATGGTCGACCACCGAAGAATAAATGAGGAACGATGACTGTTCATTAATAATAATCACAATGTATGAAACACAGCTAATATTTGTCGGAAGTTTGCAGACAAAATGGTCCGTTTTCAAGCCCTATATATCAACTCGATGTTGGCCGACTCCGAATTTCGAGTACGTGGCCAATCTGGTCATTGTTTTCACACGGATGAAACAAGAGCACAATCTAGTGATCTGATGTTACGACTCCGATACGTTTCGAAAAATTACATTACTGAACGCTTTTTAGTGATCAAACTTGGAACCACGCGGGAGATAAATACATGCTAAGGCCGGAACCTTCTGCCCTCATCTAATTGGTTTGGTTATAGCTTTTCAGGTTCAGGTATAGTCAAAATAAGGCTATGGCAGAAAGGTTCACTATGGAAAACTTCGAAAAATGTCTGGAAGCTAACACAAGAAAAACAGTAGTCGAGAGCAATCGCAGAGGATCTGGTTAAGACGAACGTAGCATCTACGAGGGCGTCTAACTCAAGAAAATAATTGGGTTACAGTCCAGACATGATTTTCACAGACGCTGAAAAGTTTATTAAACATTCTTGTAAGCGTAATGGCTAACCTACTCAATATCGTTAATTATGAACATTTGATCAATCTCATACAATGGCCACCATAACTTCCTCGAACTTGAAAAAACCCATGGGTCGCCGCTTCAAGTTCCCCTGTCCTCTGTTAATAAAGACTATTATTTTTTAACTTCACAATTAATTAATCTAAATAATACATCCGTATTTTAGTAAATTTATGATAGCGAAAGATAAGACTACGATCGAAAACATCTATGACATCAATTAAACAGCCTCCATGCCTTAGTCACTTAGTCTCTGATTGAATCACAACGGCCCTTCTCTTCCTAATGCTACCATAAAGGAGATCACGCACGGTTTTATTAATGAAATAACTAAATCCTGATGATACTTTCTAAGGTTAGTTTAAACTGCTGTGATACTGATGTTGTAATTATGTGTGATGATGTGATTTATGGAAAAATTATACAATAAGGAGCATGGCCATATCATGGAACACTACGTGAGAACGTAGACCCAACGATCTTAGTCACCTATTAACTACCCATCACGTGAAATTGAGTTGTCCTATCTGGTCCACGTATTAGTGCGTAGCTTAAACGAGGTATAGCTCTTGCCCTTAACTGGAGGTTTTCGATTCAGTAAAATTCCTTTCTTGACAATGGCTAGCTGGATCTGGTTATTTACTGCACGGAGTAAGGTGTGAAGATTTTCAGGATCGCCTTTCAACAAACATTGACGAAAACGATGGCTGAGACGCATTTTGTAGTGAGCGACAACACTGGCATCGGTTTCTGAGCCGCCCCTATCCATCTGCCCCCGTTCCGCTCCACAATTGAGCACTGAACTTCTGTGGAATACAATACCAAGGATCTTTGTTACCTTCAACAGGCCGTCCACCTACGGCTAGTGCACATATACTTGCCTGTTGTTACCGATTGGAGGGCCACGTTTAATCACGCCGTGGAATGAGAAACTTCTCTTTGCTCAAGCAAATTTTCTAGGCTGTCTATCGCTTCGATGTTGTTGGATTGTTGCGGGCGTCCAAGAAAAGTGTGAACCGGTTCCAAGAAGGGCCAATGGCTTCCAAGTTCAACAGAATTAGTAAAGCCCCATTAAAACTAAGAACCTGATTTGACGCAAAACCAACTTAGGTTATGAATGACGAAGTTGGTTAGGAACGACATGACGGTATGAGTAAGTTTTAAACTGTCAATAACTTCTCGAAAAGATTTTTAAAAATGCCACATACAGGCCGTGTTTGAAGTTATTAATTACTGTGCTAAAGTAACTTTCATGTGAGCCTCTTTTTGTAATGGCATTGAACTTTTGTCTATGATTAACTAGAAAAATCGTTTATTGTAATTACAATACCAATGCCTATTATTATTTTAGGTTACTGATAGTTACTTGCAGCGTTTCACGTTATAGCTTAATGATGGACCTTTTTTTTTTTTGGTTTTTCGAGTTGAAATTGTGTGTATGCATTTATCTCATAGATCCTTCTTTTGACGCCCACCGTTCTTTCTTCGTTTGGACATAATAACCATCTGCTGTTTTTAAGCAGTTAAATCTTTAATACTAGTCCTAACGACCAAAGGATTCATTTATTGCGGCTTTTCTTAATATACTATTATTTTAGCGTTCTAAGAGCCTTAGATA